AGCTGAAGCTGAAGAGAAGGATTAAGAACTTGCAACTATAAGCAACAGAAAGAACCTTTAACTGCCTTAAACCAACTGAGAAATACACTGTAGAGAAGGATTTTATCTACCTATGGACAGTGAGAAGATGATGGATACCAGCCCTGCATTACCTCAGGCAAGAACAGGAACTACCCTGCCATTCTTAGGGAAGCCAGACACCGGAGGATAAGTCACGCTGCAGACCTCCACAACACCATTCTTGCTAACCACAAGATGGCTGCTGTGCCGCATCAACTGATGGTCAATTCTGCGTGCCAGAACCGCCTTCCTGAAACTGTATTACATGGAGACTCACCTACAGTAGCGGAACTGCACGAGACCCACACTTGATCCAACCTTGAATGGAATCTATTTTCCCTATTGTTAAAAACTTTGGACTCGTGACCCCTCTCCCTCTACTCGCAGGTATCGCATTTTCAATGACCCCTCTGGAGGATAGCTGTCTATAGCAGAGATAGAGTAATTGGGAGGGGGGAAAGGGCTGAGGGTCAAACATAGGACAAAAAACATATTTATATGTATGAAAGTAGAAATGGAACAGTATTGGTGACGACATGCTTGATTAAGACACCATGCAGTTTATCCTGGATGGGAAACTACACTTGGTGTGTTGTGATGATACTCAGGGAATAAATGTTAAGCAATATAATTTAATATAAATAAATAAATAAATAAATAAATAAATAAATAAATAAATAAATAAAAGTTACTGCCATTGAGTAGAAACCATCATTTCTACTAACTTCAGCACCATTACTACAGAGCTTACACAAAGATGAATTTAAAAAAAAAAAAGTCAGCATGAAATCTGAATTAATGTCTAACCTAATTTTTGAGAATGACATCTTCAAAGCAGCTTTTGAAAATGAGAAAATCATCTTTGGATCTTTCCATTTTTCCACCTGATGACGAGTTGAGCCACTGGACTACTACTATTCCTTGATGACAACTTACAAATGGAATTAAAAAAAAATAAAACTAAAAAGTTGCTGAAACAGAATTTTACAACTTTCACACTTTACCAGAGAGTTAGAGAAAAGAAAACTAATAACTAACTAAATAAATAAGAGTGTGTGTATGTCTGTTAACCTAATGTACTTGCAAATAAGACACATATGGTTAAATTAAGATTTTCTTTTTTTAAGAGAGATTTTTGCTATACGGCAAGTGTGCTTGCTGGAGAAAGAGAGAGAGAGAGACAGAGAGACATAAAGCAGGACATCAACCCCTGGGGAGATAGCCACACCACAATCTCCTCTTGAGATTTTGGGCACGCACGCACATACACCCAACATGAGTTTCAAGCCACTGGGCCCAGGACTCAAACCATGGTCGACTATGTGGGAGTCCAGCAACATAACCGTTACGCCTGCCATCCATTGGTCCCTGAAGACTAATTTAAAAGACAGCTTTCCAGGGCCAGCAGGTGGTGTGGTAGCTGGGGCGCAGGAATTCCCACATGGCCAACTATGGTTCAGGTCCTGGACCTGACGGCTTTCTCTCTTTCTCTGGCAAAACTCGTGTAAAAAATAATAATCATCATCATAAATAAATAAACCTTTAAAAAAAAAAAAAAAGACAGTTTTCCACGCCTCTGAAAGATGTTGTCACAAAGGATATGCTGCTATTCTCACTCACTACCTGCTGGAAACTCACACATGGCGCTCACTTTTTTTTTTTTTTTTTTTTTAAGAAAATGTCTCGGGGCCG